GCAAAAGTTTTCACGCCAACGGGATGCAAACCCACGAGATTTGGCTTTGAAGCGAGACCACTACCACTAGGCCACGGTGACACTGGCCAATGAGCGATCAGCAGCGCTTACGAGACAAAACCGGGATTTCGCAAACTTTGACCGCCCAGAACTCGTCTGGGAGGTCCCCGTAGCACTTTTAATCTGCATATTCGTAATCAGCATTCGAGACTCTATCGATGTACCTAGGTCTCCATTCAAGTTCAAACCATTCCCTTGTTAGAGAAAAAGCAACGAGGGAGCTTCGAAGAGACATACTTCCAAGGCCGAATCCACTCGATCAATCAACTCGGTGAAGAAATCAACCGCATCATGCTGCTGACGGGTGTCCAACCTATCTGCTCCAGAAAACCGAAACGTTTCCCACATTTCGCGAGGGACGTAGAGGCGAGAACGAGTCATCGTCAGTCGAGCAAACACCGACTGAAGAGCTAACAGCAACTGACTGAAATCAGTACTATGAGAAACTTTTCAGGCATTCTAGAAAATATCAAACTTCTAATTAGAAATACACCAAATTTCTAGTAGAAAAGGACTTAAAGACACATCCCATGAAATGGAAATTATAGGTAGTAGGGTCACAATAAGAACTGCTGGGGGTCAAAATAAGAAGTGCTGCTTCACACACCAGTGCAGAAAGGAGCAAAAAATTCGTCTAAGAGATCCCAATAATGCTCGGGTAATTTTCAGTGCTAAATGAGTAAACTGTGGAAAGAGGTTCCGAGACACTTAGCAAGCAGGGAGGAAAGGCCCGGACAAGACGAACGCTGCAGTCTTGTTGGCTACGGAATCAGGGTAGGAGGGGGTGGAGGGTTGACGTGGCGACAGCCTGCTCTTCATCAGCTGTTGAAGGGTGCAAGCCAAAACACTGGTATGACGCCGCGCCAAATCCAATCTCCCCGCCTCCCCTCCTCTGACACGCCCCATCATCTACACTGAGCAGAACTCCGAAGTGGCACTGCCAAATGCACAAAAGACGACGAGTGAAAATTGACCAAGCAGTAGTCATGTGTTCATGAACATCTGAAACTAGTGCAGGTGGTATAGGTTTCCTGGACATCGCAAATTTCTAGGAGTTTGCCACGCACCTTTCCGGCACACTCTGAGTCTGCGCTCATGCTTTGCGTCAGTATTTCAAGCATAAGGCAGCATTTTTAGGCGTTTTTAGCCAACGTGTCAAGAGTTTGACTGGAAAACATAGCATATCGACGCTAGCGCCATGGGCGTACGTCAGCTTTTTGAGCGACTTCCCACCAAAAGCATAAAACTGCCCGCGAAAACGGTCAAAAATATACAGATATTTACAAATAGCTTTACATCGACATTTACACCTTCCTAGCTCGTCCAAAACTCTGGTGCACGCTCGAACTGCTGGTGGGCGCTCAAACGCTGCCGTACGCTGGCGTGCGTTAGATCGATACCTATACTTTTCTAATCGCTCGGAAAATGCTCAAAACGCTAAGCGCAACCACCTCACAACGCCTGCCGACACTCAAAATCCTGACCAATGTATGCAACAGTCTAGAAATGCTGCAGTCCGCACGGGAAAGCATTGGTCAGCCTCTCATGTCACCTCTCAGGCAATCGCAGAACGAGTATTTAAAAGCACTTATGAACTGAACCGCTTACTTATTTTCACTGTTGCAATCGTTTGAAACGTTAATGGAGAGAAGGTGGTTGGCAAGTCCAGGAATGGCGAACAGTTGCTGCAGCACGCTATTCATGTAACAAGTGCCACCACCGTTCTGAAGTCCGACGTGATCCAAAACGCGAGGTTCCAATATTGGCTTGAAAAAAACACTTAAACGACAACAGTTGAAACAAGGCTGGGTCTCTACTTACCCTATATTCCCATTCCAACTCCCGCGGTTTACCGAAATAAATTCCCAGCCATTCGATCAATCGAACAGCATTACCCGGACAAGATTCGGTTAAATCGGCGAGCACCTCCAGAGCCAACAACGGATTTTTTCCTTCCCAAACGGTGCTCCTAGAAGAGGAGATTTAACGCCTAAGAAAGAAACGAACGAATGAATCAAGCGTTCATAGTCCAAAATGGATGAGCAGTGTGGGAAGAAAATAAAAAAAACTCACCCAAAGGCTTCATTCGTTACTTGTGTAAACACGCAGCGGCTTAGCATAGGAATTATGAACATGTCACCCATCTTCTTACGTGCTTCCGAGTTGGTGTACCCGAGTACTGCTCTAAGAACCTGAACAGAAAAGAGGCATAGAGGTGAGACTAGGATTTTTGGTGAAAGAAGTCCACTAGCAAGAAAAGGATGCCAACTCGCCATGGCTATCCAAGTAGAGATGTATCTTCAAACGCTGATCCCAAATTTTTGAAGCTGTTTTGTTATGATAACTGCTGTTTAACGCCGCAGTACGCGTTCCGAATGTTATCACAAGAATGCTGAGTTATGGGCAAAAGTCGTGCCCCAGGCGGGAGTCGAACCCGGGCGAGTGCGCTATCCGTTACGCCACCAGGGCCGCTTTTACCCTCTCACCAAGTTAAACGTGAGTGCTGTAAGGCTACGGCATAAAAGCCGTTAAGCTGAGAGGGTAAAAGCGGCCCTGGTGGCGTAACGGATAGCGCACTCGCCCGGAAAGCGTGAGGTGCGGGTTCGACTCCCGCCTGGGGCACGACTTTTGCCCATAACTCAGCATTCTTGTGATAGCTGATCCCAACCTTACTTCTAAATCTGCTAAACTATTCTGGGAACGAGATAATGGGCTAATCTCTCGCCTGTGGTGTTTCAATGTTTTCGGCTGTGTGACTTTTCTCGGTCTTTCTTGCACCACATACCCCTTCCGCGGATGGGCGGCCGCCTTTTTTTGAGGAGAATTACTGGAGAGTGCCATTTTTGGAGAAAGCTCTGGTAAAGCGAGAGTGCCATTTTTGGAAAAAAGCTCTGGTAAAGCGGTAGGAAACTGGGACAATTTCGGAAGATGTAGGATGGGGATAAAAGTCGTACCAGAGGTGGGATTTTTGAGGGTGTGGTCGCATTCCGCAAAATGTCACAGCTGCAGGACGTGCTCTGAATGGTGCACAGATACCCACAAGTTGATGCCCATAAGCGCGGTAAAACAGCGTAAACAAGAAGAAGGCCTACAATTTTGCTCCCAGAATCGTTTAGCACATCTAAAAGTCAGGTTTGAAAGTAGTACACACCTTATCTGACGAGTTGGGATCCTTTCCTTGCAAATCACCTCTATCAACAATTTGAAAGGATACCCATTTACTTACCCGCAGTTTCGCAAATATAAAATCCGCATTGGTGCCCTCAACGACGGAACCGGAGTCCGTGGCGGTCATAAATTCGAACGTCTCCCAAGCAATCTGAAATACCAATAACGTCTTTGGAAATGGAAAGTCTGAAGAAAATGCGTCTCATGCAGACCTGGACTGGATCCCGTTTGATCATACGCCAAACGTTGAGAATATCTTCTTCAGTGTTCATTCGATTATATTCCAAAATAGAAGCCAGACACAGATACATTTCAAGGCTGTTTGCCAGTTGGCGATGACCCAGCTCATCTGATGAGGGAAAAATTCAGATCACCGATCAGTCGGCCACTAGAAGGCACTTCAATAGTTTGATAAAAACGGTGACGAGCCAACTGACCAGCTTTCTTTAGACGTTCTCCAGCAAAAGGTGCTCTCTCGATCGTTTCAAAAAGCATATGCAAAAATGGACAAAGGCTACTTTCGCACGAAAGACAACGGGCTATACTCATGAGCGCATCTCTTGCATGTCGTCGGAGCTGAAAATAAGTGATGATTCTGCCTGTTTCATAAAGAACAACGAAGCGAATTCCTGCCAATTCACTAACTCGGATGGTTACTGTATTTAGAAGAATATCCATCCAGAATTCACGCCACGAGTCAGTCGTGTATAACGTCAGTAGATACTCTTTTGTTGCCTGATCCACCTAAGCAGAAATTTTATGGCTCAGTGTTATGAAGTTAGCGAAAGCCACATACCCCCGACGAGTTCAAACGAGTGGCTACACATCGAGCCATCAACATAAGTATATCGTTCGTCAAGGCTTCACTGCGATCATCAAGAGCTTAAATTAACCTCATTGAGTCAAATAAAATGAAAGAAGAAATGGCTCAGTTTGAGAGTTCACTCTTTGCGGCAGCATTTGAGCGTCCGCCACCGCTTTCAGCAACTGTCGACACTTATACTTTCTTAGTCGCTCAAAACACTCAGAACGCTGGTGGACCCTCAAAACGCACAAAACGTTGACAGATGCTCATAACGCTGACACAAAATATTAGATTGTCCCAAGTTCGTGATATTTTCGTACTATCTTTTCGAATCAGGTTTATTCCAGTGACAAGCAGTTTTGACCAACTATAACATTAACTTCATCGGCAACTTGTCGCCAACCACCTTGAAGAGTGCTTGCTTTCAGAAGCGTTTTAGTTCCGTGTCGAGAGAAGGCAGCGGGTCATTATTGAGATGCTTTTGAAATCGTATTTTTTACCCAGGAAGTGGCGCTGAGGGATTGGTTCAGATGGCAGTCAGAAAGAGCCAAGTCAGGGCTACACGAAGACTGTGGTGGAATTCACCCAGCTAAGCTTCAAGGATCTCGAGCAGTGTCATTTTCGAAATGTGTGACCCTGAGCTGTGGTGGAGTAGGCAAACATTGCTGGGTTGTGGGACCAAATGATGGGGATTTTCATCCTCCCTTTGCAGTTAATTACAGGAGGACTCGCTGGTTACCACAGCGTTGAGAGGAAGAAACTCCCTGCGGTAAACCCCATGAATGGTTCACCACACGCACAGTATCACCTTCCTACTGTATTGATGGGATTGCACGACCAGGTTCTGCCCTTCCTGGAGGATCTAATCCACTGGCGCTTCCGGGATGGTTCACCCAGGGACACCTACTCCTTATCCAGTCGCAGTCGTTGTTGAACCAGTCTGTATGGCGGGAGCGGGAGAGAAATTGTAGATACTATCCACATGCCGTTTCTCTTAAGTATTCACGAGGAAACTTTGACCGAACTTCAATGTTTTCTTGAGGAAGTGAGGACCTCTGTCAATTGTGCTTTTAGAACAGTCAACTGTATGGATAGCGAGTTGATTCGTACCAGCTGGTTGTAATCAAGAGATGCAGGCGAGGTACAAAATCAAGATTTGCCTTTCTGGACAGGTTTGTCTCCCAAGTAGAAGTCACTTAAAGGCAGTTGGCACGATGGTTTCTTGCTCAGCCTAAAATGCTAGTAGGGCGCTGTATAGTGGTTAAATGGCGAAAAACGGAGGTGAACATGGTCGGTGGTCAAAATCCTGCGGAAGAGAAAAGCCTTCAGTTCTCAGTGTTTTTGAAAATCGATTTCGGAGCGAGTTTCGACCGGAGGAGGCATCATACTTCATTCATCGTGTGCTCATAAATTTGCATTAGCAAATAGAAATGAAAATACGAGTAGTCAGACGTCCTGCACATTTGTGCGGGCGGGCGTGGCGGGCGTTTGGGACGTAAAGTTGTGGCTTGATAGGGCCCTTATAAGGGCACCTTCCTCGGGGAAACCGCTATGCAGCGCCTGCCCAGGGTCGCGGAATTCTATCCTGCCAGGAGTATTGATCCTAGTCGTCTTGGGGGATTTATCGTGCCAACTGCCTTTAGCGAAGGCGAGTCGGACATTCAACGCCGTACATGAAGGGTAGCACCAGGACCTAACTCAGAGAAATGCCGCTTGCGGCTCAAACCACATTGTGGCTTAGTGGACATTCACATAGCGAAGTGCGATGAAAATGATGAAGTTCATGTACCATTTTGGAGCGACTGCGAGGGACGGTAAAGCAACTGTGGGATGCTCACTTAACGCGCTTTTCAAAGACCACACCGGATCTCCAAAGATAGCTCGGAAAGAATTAAATACTCGATTTTAAAAAATGTCATGAACTTCGGAACCAACACATAATGTGATACGCTCCTTATGGCTCCGATTCGTGACAGCAATAAATGCGAAATGCAAACCTAGGGCGTGTCCTGCACGGATTGATTGAGACGCAGAGGGGGCATCCGGAACCTTATAAATTGGGAGTTCGATCCACACGTTCTCTGGTGTTTCACAGTTATTCGGTGATCTACATCCTCTGAAAAATGGACCGATGAAAAGGATAAGTTTCAATGTGCCGTGAAAACGCCTCCTTCAGAACTGTAGTCGACGCTAAATCGTAGCGCGAGACCAGCAACAATCATAAGTGCTTTCACACACACGCTCAATAAAAAAAAAAAATAACACAATGCAAGCTCTCTAAATGACCTTCCCAAACGACCTCCACACGTCCATGACACCACCGATCCACAACCCGACCTCTGCTGGGTTTTGAATGGGGCCTTGGCTTGAAGCGCACCATGATCAGATTTCTCACCAATTGTGGCGGGCTCAGCATGGCATCATTGGTGGAAAAAGGGCTCCCTGGCTGTGCTCCCAAACGCTCCGCGTCACACGCCCTATCCTCTGCAGGGAACGTAACTGTACGTTCATGCACGAAAAAGAGTATCATGAAAAGCAAGATCACAGCATTCAAACTCTTTCTGTTCCTCCGCCCATGCTATTCACAACCTCATACATTCAAAACCAAGCAACGTACTTGGGTACTATGCCAAAATATTCCGGATATATGGGAAGTCGAATCGAATACAACAACCATCCTGCCGCACCACGCCAGACTGCATCACGAAATACGGTAATTAAACTCAGGAATTCATCACTGCCAAAGTTCGCAACAGCCGAAGAACTAAAAGGACTGAACTGAAAGTCGTTCCATAGAACTTCAGATGAAAAAAAATCAGGATAAAGAATACCTGTCAATGGCTAAGGTAGACAAATCTTCGTAAAGTGGGTCTTTCCTTCGCTCCGATTTTTTGAAGTTCTGCAGATCCGACAAACATTGCTCTTCATGCATTATGGCGCTCGACAAAACTGATTGCCCAAGCAGTAGAACGCTAAAGAGTTTGACGTACAAAACTTTCATCATGGTCGCCTAAATCTGTACCGTCAGCACAGCTTCTCTCCAATAAAAGCAAATTATATATACTGTCATATTCCCTGCGGATGAACGGGCGTGCTGGCCAGTTTCGATTTGGTGCGCGGCAGCCCCTTGGCTAGCGACGAGACTGTATCTCAGCATCATACCCGTCGTTTTCCACAACTTATTGTTGCTTAGCCACTTAAATGGCTGAAGAAGAGCGAGCTGGCGACGCGCCAAAGCCAGCCCTACTGGCATCCGCAGCGAGCGATGCTGTACTTCCATTACTGCACTAAGGCAGCATTCAGATTTTGCAGACGACAGCGCTCTGGTCGTGCGTTCGACGCGACCGATCGCGCCACCAAAGCGCTGCCATCGTGAAGTATGAACGCTGCCCTACACACAGTGCCCAGTACTTTGAATCAGGTCAGGCCCTGAGAATTCCCTGGCTTTTCGGACCAAGAGGCCCGTATAAAGGGCCTAGATCTGAAGCGTATGTGTGTGTGGGTAACAAATATTAAGCATCTGTGCCAAAGCAATATGTAAAAATGCCTTCTGGCCGAGAGGAACACACGGCTTCAGTGGAAAAATAAGGGCACAAACGGCAAGCTGGACTAGCAAGTTTTTGAAAAAGAACACGTTATCAGAAAAAAAAGACCCACCAGAAAATTAACGTGAGTAGCTCAAACATCCGAGTGCGGTCCGAGGGTGTAATGGGAGCGATCAGATGTGGAAGAGCGAGCAGCTTCAATAGGTGTTTGTACACGTTTGACTGT